GTTGTCCAGGTCCCATTGCCAAGAATGTGTTGTCTGAAATGCCTGTTTAGTTTTTAAAGATGGAACTCCACCCTTTACTTGGTTTTAAGTATGTATGGAATGTTATGATAAGACATAGTAGTAGTGGTGGTGGTCAGACATGGAGATGGTAGGGAGACAAATATACATGTGAAATAAACTCAGTATTTTAATAAAGTAAAAAAAAAAGAAAGAAAAAAAAAAGACAAAGATCTTATCTGCAGAATACAAGTGCCTCAGATGAAAGGGTAGGCAGGAGGAGATTAAGTGGCAACCACAAGTCAGGAGGAAAAATGATACTTTAGTTGTCATTTTTAGTCTGTTTTTCAGACAAGTCTCACACTGTAGTTGGTGGCCTTGAACTCACTTATGTAGCCCAGGCTGCTCTCAAACTCCAGTGATTCTCTTGCCTCAGCTTCCTGAGTGCTGGAATTATAGGCCTGTGGCACCAGGCGCAGCTTGGTTGTGAATTCTGGACTGCATTTGGCTGAGTGATGGGTCCCATTTGCTGGTATACGTGTCACACTCATGTTTCCTTTGCAGGCATGAGCAAGCCCACACTTACCAGTCTGCATAGGGTTTGCCACTTGCCCGGCTTGGAAACAAAAGTCTGCATCTTCTGGCCAGTTCTGGCTGTTCTGATATTCTTGGTAGGCCATTGTCTCATCCAGGAACTCCGTGGGAGACCCTTAAAACACAGATGCGAAACAACTTACAAGACACCCTATTTTCTACAAACGATCCCATTTAATTTAATATAAAATAATCCACTCTTCCTGTTGTTATTGTTGTTTTCTGTTTGTTTGAGGCAGTGTTTCATTATATAGCTCAGGCTGGCCTTGAACTTATAGCAATCCTCCTGCCTCAGCCTCTTGAGTGATTCACCACACCTGGCTTCAGGAAAATATTTAAAAAATTTACAGATAAAAATAAACAAATTACTGTAAGAATGAGGTTCCAATTAAGGTTAAAAACAATACAGAGTACCTTTTGGTAATGTAGGCATAGAGGAGCAGTTATTTACTCCACAAAATAACAAGCACAAAACATGCAAGAAAATTAAATTAGAAAAATAACAAAAAATAAAATATGGAAGAATCAAGATTATTAACATGACAATTCTCAATAGATTTAAGGCAACTGAAATGAAAATCCCAGCAGAATTTTAAAACATAACAAGCTTATTCCATAATATACATAGAAACTTAAAAATCAAGAGAAGCCAGAAATCATTTTAAGAAAAACAAAAGTAAAGGAATTATATTACCTGGTCTTAGAAAAGTTGTAAGTGTACTACTAACTCATTGTAGTACTGACTACGTACTTCGGTAAAAGAAATAGAACTAAGTTCAGAAGGAACCGCCTACACAGTCAGCAGCTTTTCAGCAAATGTCAATAAAATTCAAAAGGAAAAATTTTTCAAATGATACAGAAACAATGACACTTATCATTATAGGCTGATTCCTAGCTTCAACTTCAGAGCATCAGAAACATTTCTTTTTTCCTATGACTTTCTAATTAATTTCTCTGTAATCTAGAAGACAAGTGTATCTTTACCTTTGTACTTTTATAATTGAAGAAAATAAGAAAATGGGAGTGTGGTACACACCTGTAATCCCAGCACTCAGGAGGCTGAGGCAGTGAAGATTGCCACGAATTTGAGATTACATAGAGTTCAAAGCCAGCCTGAACTATATCACAAGACCCTGTCCCAACAAACACACACACACACACACACACACATGTAGTAATACACACCACTTCTAGCTTATTACAGAGAAATTACACAATTATAGAAAAGAAATGCTTGTGGTGCCAAGAAGCTGAAGCCAGTCTGCAACTGACTCAACAACAGACTTTAAGCCTTTGGTTACTTTTACAAACACAGGTTTTCTTTTTCCTTTTTTATTATTAATATTATAATAAATCTACAGGAAAGTTTAAACAAAAAAGACAGTGAGAAAAGGGTGGGAGAGAAGAAGGTAAGGAGGACCAGCAAACAAGCACAGGG